GTTTACAATTGCACGCTTCCGCAATTGTATTTCCACCTGTACTAGCGTAACCTTTACAAGCCTGGATGAATGTAACAACGGGTAAACATTTGTAATCAACAGCACGCAGATCGGCGAAATTGCATTTGGACAAGTCCAGTAAATCGTGGATACTAAAAGCAACTGAAGAGTTGTTCATATGTAACAACAGGTTGATTAACTTTCATACCATAAACCACATTCGTTTCGCCAATTTTTACCAACTTGAAATGCTTGTTTACCCAGAACTTGAATTGTGCAGTGCCCCAACCATCACGTAATGTCAGAATAATATCATCGTACATATCCTGCTTGATTAGATATTTATCACGAAATTTTTCATTTAATTTGAGTATGTGCACATCCAGTTTTTCATAAAATATCTCCATTATGACTTATAACTATGATAATAATTGCAGCTATTTTGAACTTCATACCTTTATTTGTGATATTTCGGCCTTTAACCGGTCATTTTCAATTTTTCGACCTTTAACCGGTCATTTTCAAATTGAAAATGACCGGTTAAAGGCCGAAATATCACAAATAAAGGTATGAAGTTCAAAACAGCTGCAATTATTATCATATTTTTGACTCGAAAGTCGTTGCCCTCGTACAGAGATTTTGACTTATAACTAGCTGTGTGAACTTCTATACTACCTAAATCTATAAGTATTTCTTTCCTTTCCTTTCTTTTACTATTTTGATTTCCACTATAGTGGAGATTGAAATATGAGTGTTAGTCATTTTTGCCTAGTGGAATTTATAATCCCACTATAGTGGAGATTAAAATTTTATTCTCCACTAGCTGAACTTAAAATTTCAATCTTCACTGGATTCTTTTCAGTGGAAATTGAAATTTTAATTTCCACTGTAACATATATAAGTTAAAACGGACGATCGACAGCTAGAATTTCACGATCGATATTTCCGACAAATTGTCGAAAACCAAAATCTAATTTCGGCATGGTCGAATTTCAGGTTGTTTTTCGACTATTATCACAAGTACTTGTAATTTCGACAATAAATTTCGACTTCTTCTAATAATTCACAAATAAAAATAAAATGACAAAATAAGAATTAGTCCTTAGTCTATCATCTCACTTCAGTTGCAAATGAAATGACATAATCATAATCTACAAGTCTACTGAAACGATTTCTGGCATTATTTAGAATATACGGATTATACATTATAAAAACACAGGATATTATTTTATTATTATGCACGGTATATACTATTAAGAATTTCATTTCAGGTGCAACTGAAAATTATTATCGAATTCCGATGGATTTTCGGCAGTTGTTGAGGCATTGTAAATATGCAGATAATCATATCGAGTTTTGACAATTGTCGAAATTATTGGTGGCTTTGCTCTGTATATTCGGCTATACCGCAAAAATCCTTCTGAATTTGGACTATCGGAATTCCTGCTAACGATATTCTAGGATATCTGTTTTATCCTGAGCGGCATATATCTTCAGTCGACCAGGCGTGCAACCTTATGGTTAGTACATACCGTACGGTTAGTAACAGTTCCATCTATTTATTTAGTTACATCTTAGCCGTGGTATTGGTATTCAGCTCCTAGTATATATTATTCGTGGTACCGATTTGATGAATACATGAGTATCAGCTAATAATTCATTATTGTGTATATCAATTGCTTCTATGATTTGATTTGTTTTTAAAGTTTCCTTTAATAATCATACACAATTATCAGTTATCTTAAATCTAAATATTTTAATATTTTATTTGCTTTTAATGCATGAGATAACATTTATTACTATTCAACAACAATTTATTACTATTCAAATGAGTCCTACTTAAATGCAATGTTATCAATTTACGATTTGTAACTAATATTTGACTGAGTATTTGTATATCTTTATCATTTGATTAATTATCACTTATATTCAAATTCTGCAGCGTATCGTTACGATTTAACATATCAAATAAAAATTATATACCATCTAATGTTATTTTATTCTGTTGTAAATTTAAATGTACTAATGAAGAATTCTCTTCTAATAATTTCGTTAATACTTTAAGACCAGTATTTGTTATTTTATTATAACCAAAATTTAAACTTGTTAAAATTGAATATTGATCATTTTTTAGGCAACTGGTTGCTATTGATATTATACCATTATCACGAATTATATTACTTGTTAAATTAAGTGATTTTAACGGGTGCAGCAGAATAAATGGTCGATTTGTATTTTGACCATAACTTTTTGGGATTTCATGCTATAGAGCCACATTTTTTTTAAAGATGCACCGTGAAATTCTCTACAAAATCATGTATTTTATTTAATCTAAATAATTTCCACTGTTTTTTGATAAGCGATACAAACGATTAGTCCAACTTGTACAACTTTCCAAAACAACTTCAGATCGAATTCTTTTAACACCACGTTTTAATTCGTCAATCAAGGTTTTTTTTTATTGGACCTTATCCCAATTAATTTGCTGGACAAATTCATCCCATATGCAGTAATCCAAAGGATTGATATCCGGACTATTCGGAGGCCAATGATCCTTATCCATAAAACTTGGAAAATTGTTCTTGCACCATTATTGTGATAAATGGTGGATGTGTGGTCTTCCACCGTCCTGTTGATATGTCCAATCATTCCTAAATACTTTGTCTCCTTACGTTTTAGCCACTGGTAAGATTTCCTTAATATAACGTTCATGATCTAAAGTTCCTTCTTCAAAAATAACCATTGGTGATACACTCTTGAAACAAACATCTAACCAAACCATCACTTTCTGTGGAAACTGTTGCTGTTGCTTAATACCACTTTTAGCATCAGTTGCAGCACGATTAATTGCCCATATTCTATCATTTTCAGCATTGTACATACCATTTAAATCAAACATCTTTTCCTTTGAAAAAAGAATTTTCATTGTTTGCTCCTTTTGGAAGTTATGACGTATCTTATTGGCAAACGTAATTCTTTTGGCCTTGTGCATATTTGTAAGTAATGATTCAATCCGTTTCTTGTATGGTCGAAGACCCAGATCATTTTTCAGTATACGTCGGATCGATCGTTCAGAGATATCTAAATCACTTGCTAATTTTCGAGATGATACTCGTTTTTTTCTCTTTAACCAGTTTTTCACTTTTTGAATCATTGTTTTGCTACGAATAACACGTGGACGACCGGTCGGACTTGATAAATTAATTGAGCCGGTCTCCTTGATCATTTTGCACCACCTTTCAATCGTTCTAAGACTAATAACACCATTTAAATGACGAAATATCAGCGGTGGACCATCATCATTTTTGTACTTGGAAATTACAACGTTTTGTAAGTCTTTACTTTTCATCTTTTAAAAACTAACTGTATCTAAAAATGAGACATAGATCATAGGTTTTTGTAGAGAATTTCACGGCGCATCTTTTAAAAAAAATTTAACTCTATAGCATGAAATCCAAAAAGTTATAGTCAAAATACAAATCGGCCATTTATTCTGCCGCACCCGTTATTACACTTTTTATTTCAAATAAATCAACATTATATTGAGCGCCAAAATTACGTCTACGATTATGAATTAAATCTAATTCTTCTAATTCCTAATTCTTTAACAATGTTAATCGTTTCTGTATAATTTATACTTTGATCAGTGATATCGTTGTAATTCATATGAAGAATTGTTAATGTTTGTAATAATAGAGATAATCCTTGTCCTGCTATACGATTATCATTTACATTTAAATAGGTTAAAGCTTGATTATTACATAACCCGTTAGCAATGCATTTTATACCAATATCGGTTATGGTATTTCGACTTATATTTAGTTTAAGTAATGTTTTATTTTCACTTAATAAATCACCAATTACTTTTGCTGCAAGATCAGATATACCATTATTAATCATAATTAATGTTGTCAATGTTTTATTTGATTTCTATGCGTTACAAATATGAATTGTACTATCATTTATAAATCGATTAGCATTTATATCTATCGTTGTTAATCTAATGTTCATTTTAAACAATCAACATGAATTTTTCCATTTTCTTTTGCTAAATTATTTCCCAATCGTAATTCTTTTATTGTTTTATTTAATTTAGTAGCATCAAGTAAAAGTGGTAAATATTGATCGAGAAATGTATCAGAACAAATAGAAATGCTCATATCTTTTTAAACTATCATTAATTCATTATTGTTCAAATCAATATTTATTAATAACCTGTTATTTGTAAAACTGATTGATTTAATCAATAATTGTAGATCGTCTACTAAACTTGCAGGTAAGTTATAATTATAAACAACAGAAAAATTATGATGACGATCAATATACGTACGAAGGTTTTGCACAATTTGTCGAGGTTTCTTTCATGCCCCAGTTAATGATGAGGACATTGATAAATTAAAATTTTTAACGTATGACATTTTCATTGTATTTATTAATAATTCGAGATTAGTATCATTTAAATCACAATTTTTCTACAATTAGTTTATGAATGATAAAACCAGCATTTTCAAGTAAATTACAAAATTCATTTATATTTTTATCTGTTGAGTGACGTTTTATTTTAGCTTTACTTGTTGTTTCATCAAATTCACCTTTCCAAGTATCAAACTTTTTAAAAAATTTGGCTGTTTGTTCCTTTGCGTAGCTGTCGTTGTAATGATACTTACATAACCAACGAACATTCCCATGTATATTAGCCGCTCGATATAGATTACCTAATGTTTTATGTTCATCTGATCGTTTTAAAAACTTCTAATTCTCTTTAATTCAACACCTCCACTTGCGCTGCAAAGTACAGTAGACATCATTTCATCATTACTAAATCGAGTTAACATTATATTCATTTGTTCAATATTTTTACTAAGTGAATCCCAAAAATCTCTGTCTTTGAATAATTGAGGTGTTTCAAATTCAGGTGCTAAATGTCCTAATGCTGAAAAAACAAAACCTACAATCGCAACAGCATATCGTACAACTATAATCACCTTAATCAAATGTGGACCCTATTTTACTAAAAAATTGTTGTGGCTATAAAATATCATTTAATATATTTTGGGCTAATTAACGGGGTCCAGTGATGAAACACTTGTTTATGAAATTCGATTATGTGATTAATAACAACGTTTGGAAAATAGTGTACATCACTGAGTATTGGTAGAATTCCTTCACTTTCACGATGAATAGCTCTATCCTCATCACATCCAAATGCATCTAAAATGCCCACATGGTCCAGAAGTATAACAGATGCCACTATTTCATCTAAATCGTTTGCACTGAGAATAACAAACGTGTTGATACTTAATTTGGGAGGCGTTGTTAAGGATATATGTAATTTTTGGTTTATTGATCCGTTTATCTGTAATCAAGACATAAATGGTTTTATCTACTTATTTTAAGTTTCAGAAACAAAGACAAAACTCACCCTTGATTGAAGTCTGTTCAAGTCCAGTTGAGTAAATCGATGGTGTAAGACTGTTAGTAGTTGATCCCATATGGAATAAACTGAAATATTCCCTTTTATCATTTGAATAATTAGCTTTAAAGAGAAGTGAAAACTGAAACTAATGTGTCGAAGAGTTTCTAATTACAAAACGATTCAAAAAACGGTTCTTATCGTCTAAAATGTGAATTTTCATTATGTCTTTTTTTAGCCGAACTACAGACCGTTTCTAACAAGGGTTTACACTGTTCGAGTGTATCTATAGCGTAGAACTCAGTTCTATAACTCTCGTGTACTTCTCAGCGACTAATGTGTACAATTATGATCAGTTACTTATAACTGTCTTATATAAACGCCTTTCCGTTTGCATTTCTTCAGTAAAATTATCCTTCAGTTATCTATGCTCCTCTGGCTTACTGGCACGTTTTGACTTACAATTTTTGCACAAAAAAAATGCAAAATTTTGTGAACTCCCTCACGGGTAAACTAGATTGGTATGGCTAGATTACAAAAAGTCAGAGTGAAATTTACGATGAGGAAACCGTTCCGTTCTGGGCTTTTTTTATCCTATCCTCTCCTTTACACGTAGATGTATGTGAGTGTGTGGTACATAGGATGTAGAGTTAGTTCACTCATTCATCGAAGCTCCAGCTTCATACTACCCGTCACAGTTCCACCTTAAATCTTTAGGTCTGTGCTGATCAAACTTTGTTTTGAATTTTAAAATCAATGATGATCATGGCAAAATCATTCGATCAGAGCAAATTTTTTCCAGTTTTCAAAACTCAGCTGAGGTTTTGCTGTGTCAGTTTAAGCACTATATTTGACATGATGAGGAAGAAATGAATTTTCATTATTGACTTTCTGAAGAATCTTTCAGAGGCATATGCAAAAAATTACCTAAACTAGAAAGAATTTTGAATCTACTCGAATTTAAAAGAAGTTAATAGCTAATAAAATAAGCATTTTTAGACAAGTGATTCCATAAAAAGAAAAGGCAACTTTTCTC